ACACTTGCACACACACACACACACACACACACACACACACACACACACACACACACACACACACACACACACACACACACACACACACACACACACACACACACACACACAAATATGTTTGCATTCAGACTCGTTAAGCCAGGTTTAAGGCCCTTCCTTCTCACACAGGAAAGAGATCAACAGTAAACAGGGTTACAGAGAACAAAGATTCCTAGCTAGAGTTGAACTGGGGATGTTGCAATGACATGGTCAGCGTGTCAGATCTGTGTGTCACCCAGATGTTCTGCCTTTTAACTCTAGGTTGGTAATGTTCTTGAGGTCGTATTGACTTAGTATCATGGTCAAAGTACTGTTGGTGTAGGTATCTACATTTAAGGTTTATGTGCTTTTATTTATGATGTGGTATTTGTTATGTATTATCGGTGGTGGGCGTGCAGTTTGTGGTGGAGTAATTGGTTGTTCAACCTGGCTGCACTACATGCTCACTGTGTCTTTTTATAGAAACAGAGGGGGTGAGTCCGGAGGCAAAACCTTCCTTTGACTGCAAATGTATACCCCAGTCCTGCAACAATTTTCCACTGCAATATCCTTTACCATCAATGGCATGCGTCATCACACTCAAAGTAGTTGGTAATCTGATATATTATATCTTTGCTTGTTTTTTCCTGCAATAAACGGTCAAACGAAACAGAAGGAGTAAAGCACAGTTGGAGCAAGTCAAAGTGTTTATCTTCCTGTACTTAACACCTTGTGACCTTTTTTTATTTTGGACTGCCTATAGCCGCAATAGTTTGTCTTTCATTGGTCCCAACCTGTCTTTTTCTTATTTGTTTTTCCCTTTGGAACACTATTTTTTCTTCTGGAACTTAATATGGTTATCTATTCATCTTTATTCGGGGTATAATTGAAAGAAGCAAATGGGAGGAGTCACTGAGATGGACTAAGGCATAGAAAAACCTGGATTCCTGACATGAAAAAGGTTCGCATTGCTATTAAAGCACAATAAGTTGGAGTTCTGATCACCTTGTCTGTCGCCCCTAGATCGGCCTTGTGCTCCACCAGGCACTCCACTATGTCTGCAAAGCCTCGAGCAGAGGCTGTCAGCAGCGGACTCTCCCCCTCACGGTTCTTTGCGTCCACGTGGCAGCCTGCCTGGCAGAGAGCACGAGCAACTGGGGAGTATCCGTGCCACGAGGCGCAATGCAGTGGGGTCTCCTGCTCCTGGAAACGTAGAATGCAAAAGAATAAATGGTGCTCTGGTTGAAGAAAAGTCATTGTGTCATTTTGCTGTATGTGGAGATGTGCTTACCCGGTCAGAAAGGTCGGGGTTGGCTCGGATGGTGCACAGATAGCTCACCACATCCACGTTGCCATAGCGCGCCGCCACATGAAGAGCAGTCTCCCCTGACTGGAGGACACAACAGAGAATTAACATCAGAAACACATCAGCAGTTAGTGTGAATGTATGGCTCAGAGTAAGATGATCATGTTAACTACAACTGAGAATAAAAAAGAATACTTTCATGTGGAAAAATACTTCCGAGAGGTGACTTTCAAGGATATGATGATTTTTCTTGATAGTCAGCCACTTTTCCAAAAACTTCCACTCAAACAATGCATTTAGATTTTCCCTTCCTGAGTGCGCAGACATCAGACTTTGGAAATCGATCCATGAGCTTTAACATTATGGCTGCCGGTCAGAGGGGAAGCTTGTTAGCAGAGAGGCTGCTTATGTGAAATGAAACCTAAGATGCCGAGTTGTAGATATGAAAGTGAACAACTTCAAAAAGCATCTAACAGTGCTGCAGTGATGAACTCTTTTTGTAGGATGATGCATGCTAACAAAAGCAATGGCTTTTTCTGCATTTTGGAATATTGCAGAAAATAAGATCTGTCGCAAAGACACGCTTATGATACTTAAGCGTGATGATACAGCTAATGTTTGACGTGATTACGTTTATTAATCTCATTAAGTTACTTTTTAGCAAACGGCGTTTATTTAAGACTCAAAAGCTTTTGACATACACTAGTGGGGTATTTACTGAAGTATCTTATGTTGTAGAACAAAACGTGAAACAACTACAGATCTTATTTTAGGACTCCAGCTAAAAAACACATTAAAAAAAACTGTTGACTTAGAAAAAAGGGAACCGGATGTGGGGAAAATGCTACAGCTAATTGGGGGATTTAAGTACAGAAGCTCCATTAGACAATTTCTTGGTCACACACATACACCTCAGCTTAAGGGGATAAAGTGTAATATGACACTTTAAAGACCCTCTTTGTCAGTGTTTGCAGAGAAAAGAAGACACCACCGGTGGGAACAAATAATTAAATAATTAGTGGGAAGATGCTTTTAGGATTCCATCTGCCCAAGCCATCTCTGTGATTGTGGCTACACCGGCATCAAAAGCAAACACACACACAAAACCCATCTTTCTCAGCAAGACCTGTTTCTATAGCAACAGCAAATAAGCTGATAAAATACCAGAGTAACTGGTTTTCTCCCCAGGTGCTTCTTGTGGTGAGTGTGAATTTTGTGAGTGTGTGTGTGTGTGTGTGTGTGTGTGTGTGTGTGTGTGTGTATGTTCGGAGAATTAAAG